AGAGGAGATAAAGCAGATCAGCTCCATATCTCTCCATGGGCACTGGCTAAGTGCTTTGCCCTTCTCTTACTGCTCACCTGCTTGTGCAGAGCATTTCACAGGGGTAATAGACTCCAGGAGATAAAAGGTATTTTAAACAAACAACCAAACAAACAATCCCTCAGATTCACTTTTTTGTTATAAAATAAAAGGTGCCTGAAAGCCGTAACCCGGTGCATCTCTCTTTCAGTAGCCAACAGGTTTAAAGAGCGGGTTTGGGCACACACTGGACTGCCCTGACGCTCCCATTTCTTATGTTAGGAACATGCCTGAACTCATTAGCTCTTGATAATACACTCATCATTTTAACTATTCATAGCAAGGAATGGCCTAAGAGACTAAACCTTTCCCTGAACTAAACTGGTTTTCATCTGCCTTCCATGTTCAAGCAGGAAGAAGAGGTCCGTGGGAGGCCCGTACTTCTGCATCCCCTCTGAGGTCAGGAACATGAGAGCAGAAAAACATACAAATAGCAATTTCAGCCCAGCCAGTATTGAGCAGCACATGAACCTTGGAAACATGGCGGTAGGGGAAGAAAAAGAGGTTCCCAAAGCTGGTCATGCAGCAAACAGCTCACACAGAAACCGGGCTGGAGGCACCCAAAGGGAGGATGGGCTGGATTTGCTCAGCTGTAAGGATGGGGCACGGCTCTGTCTGATGCATGTGCAAAAGCTGAGCGGTTGTGGGAGAAGGGAATCTCAGAGAAATTATGGACACAGAAGGATTTAGCCACATGAAGGGGCAAAGGAGTTTCCTGTAGGCATAACTCTGGCAACGCAAGTGAAGAGGGGCTGTTAAATTCCTCTCAGCCATCCACACAGAGAATAATATTCAGAGGTGTTGAATTTATTCCTCATCAGGGGTCTATTGCTATCAAAAGAGAAACTATACGTCTTCAGGAATGTCATATCTGCTCAGGCATTTCTCAACAAAGCCCTGCTGGAGAAAAGCCAAGCCGTTTCCACAAATGAAGCTGCGATAGGATGAAAACATCAATGCTGTGATTGAAGTTTCACCGCGTGAGACTTCGCTGAAGCAAGAAATGTTTACTGTGGTGCTATACACCTATGGTCAGATTTTTTATACTTTTAGATGCAGAGAGACACCAAACCGGTTTCCCCCAAAATGTCACAAATATCATCTTCAAACTCCCATTGTTTTCAAAGGGATTAACCACGTAGAAACTTTTGCCATTTGAAGATGCACTTTACTGAGCTTAAATCTCTTCTCAGTTCTCATTTCCCCCACACCAGTGTAGCAGTTGCCTACGTTTGCAGCGGAGGGAGTAATGGCAAAATCAGACCGGTGGTTTTGGTGCAGGATGTTACCCAGCCTGGACCGACAACGCACAGGGTTATTCATGGCAGGGGGTGCCTCAGGTCTCCTTGCAACTACTGATAGACCACCTGGGCCTCCCCCGAGCTCTCCCCACATCCCTGGCTGTTAGGCTCCCTCCGAGCCCACCGTTTGATTAATCTGCTAACAGAAACAGGGTAAGCTGAGAACAAATAGAGTTCCCGCAGGCTTGCACCGGCCGCTTACCTAGGGCCCAGCCAGGTCAAGACCGCGTCCCCAGGCCTTTCGTCTTCTGTCTGCTTCACCGGAATAGCAGGAGGGCGAGAGCAGACGGCCGGGACACGGGGAATGGCAGTGTCACCTCCTGCTCCCAGCGCAGGCTCACGGCAGCGCCTCTGCTGCCGCCTGCCCGGCCCGGGCTGCCACTGCACGCCCAGCACAGGGACACATCAGGGGTTTAAAAATGGATCTCCAAAGCGGACGGATGGCTCTGTGCTTGGCTGCCTTCTCCGGCTTCAGGAAAGCCAGGCCCCCTCACCCAAGGAGCAGCGCACCGCAACGCAGCACACTGCAATGAGCCCCCGCCACGGGGAAACAGCCTTCCTCGCCGGCAGGGAAACCCTGCCATCCTCCACAAGCTGCCTGCACCCCTCAACAACGTCGTTTTTCACCATGTATTTGGAAGAAGATGAAGTGTGTTAGAGTCAGTGAGGATCGAGAGCCAGCTTCTTCCCAAGTACAAGGCCTGCTACTGAAACCTGGTCCTGGTGGGGGACCAAGGCTTCTCAACCAAGGGTTCAGCTACACATCACCTCTGGAGCCCGCACAGGTGGCATGCAAGTTCCCAAAACACCTCCTAGAGACAAGATGCAAAGAAAGGCTGAAGCTGTGGCAATGGTCTGATTTTTCTCAGCTAAATTTAGGGTTACATCTGTAAGTTTTAATGGGGGTAATTTGTATGTTTTTAGTCAACGTGTGTTTTCTAGCTGTTGTGCTCAACTGTTCCCTTGGGCCTTGTATTTATATCATACTGCAATTAGCACAACCACATGGACAGGGTCACTGTCGTCATCATTTTGGACTGACTCCATCCAGAATCTGTGTAAATCACAACATTTTCCTGTTATCACACGCATCACAATGCTGAGCTGTAACTGCAAGTTTCACACCACCCCAAGAAGCATGCAAGAATGTCCATGCTGCTGAGGGAAAACACTCAGGGGCGTTCTCCTATTTCCAGAGGAAAGAGGAAGAAAAAAGAGCCAAACCTGGGGAGCACACAAGTACTGGAGGTTAATGATAAGCCCAGACACTTGTCCCCATCTGCAGAAGGAGCTGGAGGCTGCTAGCCCATTGCCAGGGGAAAAGCACATACAATCACCCCTTTCTGCATCTGGATGATTTACAGCAAAAATACCCATGTGTAGTATATTAACAGCAGGAAGTATTTGCTATACATCTATATTTGCTCCCTATACAGAACAAACCTCCTCTGGTTTGGGAAAAGGATGTGGAATAACCAGCGTCCTTTGTCCGCATTCATGTATACCCTCAGAAAGACATGATCTGGCATATAAAGACAGTAACCAACTTGTTCTAGCAGCTTCAGAGCTGGGATAAAAACTCAGGATAGGTTTGCTCCCTCCAGGTCTGAGGGCTGCTCCATCTGGCAGGCAGTGCAGTGCCTCACAAATATCTCAGAAGTGCACGGATTCAGGCGTAGTGCATGCATAACTTGCCATCAGAGTTCAATAAAATAAATTGGAAGCAGCAAAAGTAATTTTCAAAGAAGAATTCACAGGAAGCGCAGGATGATTTACAGAAGCTAGAGGCTGCAAGCTGACAAGAAAATAGCTCCTCACAAATTACTTATCTTTCAGGTCAGTCACTTGAGAGAAATATAGGATGGTCAAGAATCACTACCAAGGTGTGATTTGTATGCAGAAGAGCTGCTGCTCATTGCAACGTCTCTCTAGTAAAATATGGACTATGAATATGTATGTTCCCTAGAACAACAGAGTTGCTTGTTTCCTTACTTTGTATAGATTTGCAGTTCTTCAAAGATAAACCAGTATTTTACGACTGAAAAGGCCAAAAACTCTGAAGAATTAGTATTTCCTTTCTATCTTATTAACAAATCAATTATAACAACAATGTATTTGCCCCTGTTCCACACAAGTTACAAAAAATGGCATAGGGTATAGCTTGTTCTTGACCCTTCTTTCTAAGGGGTTCTTAAAACATTCCTAGAAGTCACCATAAACAGGAGTTTCCACACCTGGAATAAAGCAGCAGCACCAAACTGTACCAGTGAAAAAGCTAGTCTGACAGCCACGAGGTGCAAATGCACAACCTTTGTCATGGAAAACTATGCCCGAAGAATTAAAGGGAGGCTTGAATCTAATTTCTTTAGGTCTCTTACTACTAATTATTGTCTTGGGCCAGCATCATTGAAAGCCCATGGTAGCAGATACAGAATGTCAGGAAAGGTATTCTGGATTTCTGAGATGCATTTGGCGTTTCCATAATTCAAACACAGTGTTACCAACCTGCATATTCACCATCCAGCCATTCCAAACAGTAAGAGAATCCTTTGTGCAGTGCTTCCCTTTAACAGTTCTACTAGAATATGTTTTCATTCCCTTTCCTTTACAACATTTCAAATTTGGCCCGTATCTGCTGCATTTATTCTCTTTTGGTTTGTTTGGTTTTGGGGTTTGGTTTTTTTTGGTGGTGAACTAGAATGTAACCTCACAATAAAAAATACATTTTAGCAACTCTAACAGCTTGATTTGCAATAATTTGTCTACCTCTTGTCAGCACTAATTGTGCAAGATGTGGAAAATAATTCAATTGCTATGACTGTAACCAGAAGCTGTAATAATAATGAAATTCAAAATTAAAAGTAACATACCAGATGCACTCTGCCCACCTAAGCGAGACAGTAAAACGAGTGGCAGCTTTTTTATCTTTACAATTCTTAATTACGTTTGACTTTAGTGGCTGATCTGAGGTCTGGAGATGTCAGCGGTTGCAAGGAAAGGGAAGGACTGCCTGAGCCAACGGCTGTCCTCACACAGAGATGATCAAAGTTCCTGGTGACGTCTTTTTTCTGTCTGGAAATGTTATTTATATGAAATATGAAGATTTGGGATACATTCCAAGGTTTCTGAACATTAAGAGATCAACCCGAGCTTAGCCCTTCAGTGCTTATCAGCCTGTAATATAACAGTACTGACTGGACATAGCACAGCACCGTGCAGCAGGATCTATAGGTAGCTATAGCAATTTGCCTCTATACCATGCAGTCTCGGCTTCCCCAGTAGCAGGCCTCTTTGAAACACAAAGTCAGATCAAGCCTACTCACATAAACAGGTTGTTCTGTGACAAAACCTTACTCTTGCTATAACTTGGAGCCCAGATTTGCAGTCAGATCCACTCAGGAACAGGTTGTGGTGCATATGTCCTGGACTGCATCTCTCCTCTGTTGCTGTATTGGTCTCACTTTTGAGAGATTACCTTGATAATAAAGCCCATTTTTTCCTTTTCAAATTAACAGCTGGAATATCTTCTTTTAGCATTCTTTATAACACATTATATGCTTGTGTCCTTTCAAATTTATAGACAACACTGCACTTTCAAATGAAGAAAAACAAAGAAACAGCTGCAATCTTCACTTGATAACATTTATTCAATATTTTCTGAAATAAGCAAGAATTTTAAGAAGCCCATAAGCAATCAAATACAGCCACAAAACCCCCATACTGATCCTAAATAAGAAGCACTATGAGAAATACACAATATTTCATGAAACAATACTGTACATCAATAACCTTCAGGAAACAAACAACTCAAACCATATGCTTAATTTACTCACAATATAAAAAACTGTAACCTTTAAAGAAAAATATAGACTGAGTCCAATTGTAGGATCCAATCCCATGCCCACTGAAGTCAATGGAAGTTCTCTCATTGATTTCAATGTTTAAAGGATCATGCCCTTACTTTGCCTCAAGAGGCACTTTAATTATTGTACAAGGCCTAGCCTGAATACTATTACAAAAATGTCAAACATCAACTCAAGAGTATGTTTCAGCAACTTTCAGGAAATAATGGAGAAATAGGTTATCTATCCATGCATGGAATAAGGCAAAAGCTAATTCATTCAGATTAGGAATAATAATTTTTACTAGTTTCTTCTTCACAACACAAACATTTTAGACTTTTTTAATTAATGGATATATTATATATCATATTATGCTTCACATTTTTCCTACCTCTACTGAGAAAGCTGTCACTGACATGTCATAAAGAACTCCTCATTAATTATTGTTTTCTGTTCTGTTACAACCACAAGAAACTCATCTGGGTTTAGTAATAGTGTCTACCAAGAAAAAAGCACACACTATCATAAGCTTATAGTTTATAGAGCTCAAGGTACATTAAAATGTAATTCATGAAGTTCACAAATTCTGTTTTAAAATATTTTTCCAAACTAAAAGCTGCAGAAAATTGGTTCTTAAATATTCTACAGAAAATTCTGAAGCATCTAATGGTTTAAATTACTTATGCTTTCTTCTTAAAAATATTCAAATTAGGTTAATAGCCCATCCTTTTGAAAAATAATCCAAAAAAGATACACTAGATTACAAATCTTTTGTCTTAATCAGTGTAACCAAAGGTTTGTCATCTGGGCTGTAATCTTCATAAGCAATGGGGGTTGCATCATACATTGCAGGTCGGGATTTCTTGCCAAACCTGGAAACAAAAGAAAGATTTTGGTGACAAGAGAAGTATGAATGAGTTAATGGCAACAACCCACTGAATTATGGTATGCGGTCAGAAACAAACCCAGAGAGCCTAAATAAATTCTGAATTGTATTACAACATGCCAGAAGTAGAGAAGGTTAAATATCTGAACTGTGACTTTTGAAATATATGTATCAAATAAAAAAATAGAAAAATCTTCTTGCAAACAAGGAACAGATTCCATATCAAAGGCTACAGGAATTCTGCTGCGGAATTCAGGAGTATCAGAATATGGGAAGACTGTGGAAGGCGAGAGTGAAACTGATACAGTTTCAGCAAGGCCAGAATTTTATTTTAGAGCCTGCTGTAACAACCAATATTAAAGTCAGGTCATATATATTTACAAAAAGTAAATAATAGACAATTATGTGACATTTGCATTTGGAAATGCAATAGTTGTGCACTGAATTGAGTTATAAGCTATAGACAAAGCATTTAAAAACTGAACTTGAAGTCTTCGGTCACCTGACACCCACTTGAGAAGCACGTTTAAATTATCAACATGCTGCACACTATTTGCAACACTAGCAAAATTAATGGCAGTTAGGATATTGCAATGCCACATACACATACTAATCTAGCAAAGGTTCACAAGCAAGAGAATCGCATCGGCAGCATGCTCCTCCTGGGCAAGCACCACTGCTAAGAACCAGGCTGTGTCATTGGGGCCCCCGTGCTGGCATATCCAGAACTCCTTTAGGTGCCTTTGCACTGCATAGACAGTCTGTCACCCTTCTGATCATTTATTAAGATACAAAAATAGTGCTAAAAATGCAACTTGAAAGTGGAAAAATGACTAAAGTGTTCTGACTACAATTACAGGAACTTTAAATAACAAAAAGGATCACAGGAAAATGGGGCAAAAAAGGGTCAAGTCTGCTTTCCTTAAGGACCTGATGCAGAGAAAATACTAACACAGAAACAGAAAGACTTATTTATGTAGTGATCCACAGTAAGGATTCTTTTTATTCCCTTCTTATGTACCATATTAAGTCTATACTAATTTAAGTTGTGCACACTGGAAGGTGAGATTCAGAAAATTCAGATTTTGAGGACAATATTTAGACCAAACCAAAATTAACTTCATTTTCTTCCAAGATTTTTATGCAACTTCCTGACTGTTCCAATTTAATTCTTGACTGTTTTCAGGGATCTAGAATTGTTGACAAAACTAAAATGGCTGGAAGCATTATGATCTTTATGGTAGAAATCTCATTTTTCAAAGTACTTCAGCTGTCAATAAGGCCACACTAGATACATTTCCATGCATGAATGTCTGCTTTCTTCTATAGTTTACTTTAATAAATACAGACAGGCCATGTTTGCTCATCAGTATCATGATGGATAAACCTGATTTTCTGTAAATGAGATAAAATTCCAAGAATTGAATGAAGGAATCAAGTTATGGCATCTTACTAAATCAGAGGCAGCAATGAATTCTGAATCACCCTTTGTCTCCGTCGCTCTCAAGAGTTTAAAGGAAGTAGAGCTTTGCATAGATACGAATGATGATGAACATTCTCCAGTGATTTCAGTCAAATTTTGCCCCTTCTGACAGGTAGAGAACACATGGCTTATTGCACACGGTGAAGCAGTACAGAAATCTCTTCCCTTCTGTAGGTCAGGGTTGACATGCGCCCCTAATTAGAAAACGCTGAGAAAAGACCACAGCACATGTGCTAGTTGTTTGTGGCCTGGCTGAGCCATCTAGCTGGTAGACCACATAGCTTTGATCAGGCGGTTCAGAAGCCAGTCCCTGCTTGTAACAGCAAACAGAGTTAACACAAACCTCAGAGGTCTCAAAACAGAATTGTTTTGAGGGAAGTCTTAGTTCAATGGGTGTGTATCTGGTAGGATTGCACAAGGATGCTATTTTATCATTTAATTGATGACATAAAAGAAAACACAAAACAATTACCAATACAATCTGCAAGAGACAACAATTCAAGGGGTAATAAATGGTGAAAAGATGCAGGTCCCTGCTACAGAGCATACTGGATCAATTAATAGGCTGCTTACAACGAAAGCACATACAAACAAATGAATAAAGATTTCTTCCAGTGCAACCAAATACAAGATTATTCATCTAACAAAGAGTATACGCTGTGGGGAAATCTCAATCCTGGGAAGCACTGAATCTGGAAAAAGACTGAAGGGACATGATGGATAATCAGTTTAACATTAACTTTAATGCCATACTGTGTCTGATGAACAATTATGTGCTTAAAGCGGTAAACAGAGTGTATCAGTAGGACTAGGGAAGTTCTATGGCCTCTACATTTAGCATTGACATGTCCATTCATGAGTGATGATAGTGTTCCAATGTGTATATCAGAGATACTTACCAGTGGCATAGGGAGCATCACAAAGTCAAGTAAATGTCATGAGAATTAGAAAATATATTTTGCAATGAAACATTGAATAAGAGCGACCTGTGTAACTTGACAAAGAGACCGAGGGTTCTGTGACAATTTTGGGGACAGTATATACTCAGTGTAGGAATTCTTCTTGGCACAGGAAGCTCCACGCATGCGTGCGTGTGCGTGCGTGTGTGTGTGTGACAGAGACTGCAAATTCTACTTCACATATGGAATGGGGTTGCCCCTTCCACTTCCTTAGAAGGACATTTCAAAAGGTGGCTAACCATAGAGACTCATTAACCTCAACAATTCCTTTCAAGTAGAAGACTTTTGAGAACATTGGACGGCTGAACCCTAAGGAAATGGTATCCTCCAACTTCTGTGGGATAGGCTGGAGTTCAGAGTTTCTCCAGAAGCAGAAGAAAGAAACTACGTGTTGCTACTCTGTTCAGAAACAGCAACTGGTATAAGGAGTCCACAAATAGAGTTTAAACAAGAGAAGGAAAATAGAGAGACCAGAATTTAAAAAAAAAAAAAAAAAGCATACCCCCAGGAGGAAGGGATTATTTTTGCCTCCACAGGAAGAGAATGAGAAGATTAATTTCCTCTGCATTATTCAGAGAAAAGGCCATTTGCGCAAGTGGTATTTTGTGTTCCTTAGTATAATTGAACTATAATCCTAGAGTTCCCACAAAGTTGAGACTCTGGCAGAGGATGTATATAAGCAATTGGCATGTGCTGTGGAGACCAGAATACTTCTCCATGTGATCATAGTAGGTCATAGTAGATCACAAAGAGGTACCTGACTGAAATTCATCACTGAAACCTATGTCAGAAAATGGTAAGAAATGAGCATGTGCTGAAGCTCATCAGATTCAGGAGTCTTAGGACGTTGCAGTCTAACACAGCCGACTCGAACACAGGAACGTGGAGAATGTGCAGTGGAGAAAAGCTTACCCTGCTGTGACAAGGTGACTTAATCAGAGTCTGATGAACCAGACTCTCCAACCCACACATAGACAGAACAAGAGTCAGCACATGAAAGTAAAAATTAAAGAAACTACACCATAAGTAGTGCATGAAGTCTAATGCTAATGACATCTAGACATACAAAAAATTTACGGTAGTAAAGTCTCTGTAACCAGATATTTTGTGAACTCAGTGTGGATCCTTTTCTAAAGCAAATGATCCAGTTTCAATAACAGATCCTGGTTCCAATTCAGTGAAGTCTTTCGGCTGCAGTAGCCAGTGGTCAATTATTTCATTACAGTGTTCTCTTCTGGCTTTAAAATGTTAAGTTTTAACATAAAAGGAGTATTTATTTACTGTCTGCATAATGAATACTAAAGAGACCTGTGCTTCACCTGGCTAGAAAACTATCTAGTTCTGATTTGCTAATCCTAAGAACATTCACTAAATGCAGACATTTACTAGTAATGATCTTTGAGCACATTCGTTTTCTCTTACAGCAAGTACCTTGATTAGTAAAGATCAAATTATAAAAAATGATCAAGAAAAAGACCTGCTGAGAAACATGAACAAGTAATTTTAAAATAATTTACTGAATATGCAACAGGCATCCACACTCCTTGGACACCTACTGACTTTAACAGAAACCTTACATTAAAGAAAATAATCTACTAACTTTTTCCTAGGCCTCCATTTTCCAAAATCGCTAATAAGTTTGGGTAGCTAAGTGGGAAAGGGAATGATTTTCAGAAAATGCTGAGAATCTATTATTTGAAAATAGATCTCTTAGGTACAGCAATTCTGAAAATTCAGACCTTGGTATTTTTAATATGCAGATTTAAGAGTTTATGCAAAAATAACTATAAAAGTTGTGCTTCTTTTCCTGGATTGAAATGACCAAAGCGGTATTTTATATCTTCCTGAAACCAAAATAAACACAATAATCTTCACACTAAACCTCTGTGAATTACCTGACTTGGCAGCTCTATCTTGGATTTTTATAAGGCATCCATTCTGTGAGAGGCACAGAGAATTATTTGGAATGAAAACATTTATTTTCATTTGCATTAAGTAGAAACACTTTCCCCAAGATAGGGAAACCCTTTATTGACAGGTTCCAATAATGTCATTTTCAACTGCATAATATGGGTCTGAAAAATCATCATGAATATATCCCAGTCTCAGCACTTCTTCAGAGGTTATTTAACCCTGATGAAAACTTGTTTTTCTAAACTTCTGCCTTCCGTAATAAACATAGATTCATTCAGAGTAATCCCGACACTAGCAATAAAGACCTGAACTAGCCCAGCTTCCAAGATTTGGAAGGTTTCATGTGAGAAATCTTTTACCATTTCCATTACCTACTGGTGAAACTGTAAAAGGCGAGGAAAATTCAGGTTAAAAAGATCCTGCCTTGCTGGTACACTTTTCCTTGGTACCCCCAGATAGAAAGCTGCCAAATTTGCTTAAAGAAATAAGTAAGAAAACCCAGGTGTTTCACACTGTTCCTCAGGAGACCAATTCCAGTCCTCGGGGAAGTGCGAAGTACCACTTCAGCGAGTAGTAACGGAACGGGATTGACACATTCATCACTGCTGCAGCAGTGGGAGGGGTGTTTAATTTGAAAGATTAACAGTATCATTTTGCACCTTGCTCTCCACCTTTGGAGATGTGTAGTACACAACAGTAGACATTCTGAAGGCCAGATAATAAAAAACTATAAAGCTTTTTATGGGCCATAAAGCAACTCCCTCCTCTCCCAACACACCACTAAAGGAAAAAGGAGTTCTCAGGGTGTGTGTGGTGTGGAGATGCTGAGCTCCTACTGGAACAGATGCAAGGCTAAGTGGCAAAGGAGACTTCAAGGGAAGACTTAAAAGAACACTGATTTTATTGCTATGTTAAATCAAGGATACTTCTTTTTAAAATATTTACTGACTAATATATTTTGACAATGAACAAATGTTTTATTGTAAATCTAGTTGAAACAGTTTAAAGAGCTACTGCCCAAAGCTGCGATGTGATTAACGGAGTCTGTGGGAACTCCTCATCCATTTCAGATAACTTTGACGACTTCAGCAGTGGTACAAATTAACCTATTTAATAGGCACTGAAACAGAACTGGAGTATTTGGAAAATGAATTACCAGCAATCACCAACCAATATGCAGCATTTTGCCATGTCAATGCACAGGAATGTGTCTCCCTCTTTTAAAAGCATTTTAATGGTAAGACACATGAACACTCTTGTTGGAATTTGAAGTGACCTTGACAAATCAAAGAAATGGGAAAAAGAAACCACAAAAATGAAAGTTCTACCCTATTAAGAGAGATGTCAAATACAGAAGAAACAATACTGGCTAGGAAGCAAAATGGCACAGAGGATCTTGGGTTGAGGAAAAGGTCTAACAGGTCACAAAATTAAATCATCAGTCACTAGTGTAATGCAAATTAAAAAAAAAAAAAGCAAGCAGGTTTCATTTTCAGATGTATGAACAGCAATGCCATAAATAAGATGCAGGAGGTGATTATTCAGTTCATTTGGTACAGGTAAAGCTTCAGCCAGAGAACTATTTCCAGCTTTAGGGACCACCCTTCAAACAAAAAGACAGACAATCTGGAGTGTGTCCCAGGGAGACAGTAAAGAAGCTGACATGATGCAGGAGGAGGAGATACCTGAAGAATGGGTTAGTTTAGTCTAGGGAAGAAAAAGATTGTTTTGCTTTGTTTTTATTATAAAAAAGAGGGGAGGGGACACAACACCTGATGTACATGATTACTATAAAGGGAACAGTGATAAATTGTTCTTCATGACAACCTGAAGAGCAGTAAGAAAGAAGGAGCCTAATTCATAGCAAAGAAAATCTAGGTTAGATTTTAGGAAAGCCCTTTCTAACTCTATTCAACTCCTTTGGAAGTTTTTAAACGATTGTTGGCAGGGAGCTAGGTATAATTAATGCTATATCGGTGCAATGGCTTACACTTGAGCTCTTGAATCCCTTACAGTCCTACCGCTGTATTATTCTGACACCCAATGCCCTGGCTTGCAAATGCGCCATTAAAATTAAAAGTCAAAAAATTACTGTCTCTAGGAAAGCAAGTAAGATCCTAATTTTGAGGCAAACAGGAACACAAAAATGAGTGATTTGTAGAGAGTCTCACTAAATAATCTGGTAAATTAGTCACAAAAATCAACGTGCCTTTGCTATCTAATCAAATTACCTGTGGGTATCAGTTAAAGGGTATTTACATCCCAAACAGAAGATCTTACAGGCTAGGAGCTCTGCATCTGTCCCTCTTCACCAGTTACACCAAAGAAATTCAATATAACTCCCTCTGTTTTCAAGGAGTTGAGCTGGTTTATCACACTTCAGATGAGAATAGAATAGGGATTAAAAAAAAAAAAAAAAACCCCAAGCAATGCCTGTGATCCTGTTTTTTCACAGCGAAGCAGCCCAACTCTGCCAACAGCAGTTAGATGCACTATGCATGGACTGAAATTATGTATCGTAACAGATTTCGTTTAAATTACCATCCCCAGAACAAACCTGGCGTGTCGGATAGAAGCAATTGCACTACTGAATTCACTGTCAATGCTTCTGCAGTTGTAAAATTCTTCATAGGCTGGCCTGGAAGAGCCTTGATATTCGATGCGACTGATGCGACATATGCCCACAATCAGAATGATCAGCATCAGGACAAACGCTACGCAGAGAGCCCCAATTATGATGTACAGGGAGTGACGGGGCATATTTGTTAGACTCTCTGCCATATGCCCGGACTTCCACTGCAGATCTGCCGATAAGAAATAAAAGGTTATCATTAATTAGTAATTTATATCCAAAAAATGTGATATTCTTTATGATAATTCCAATATTTCTGTGGAGACTTTTGAAGCTAGGGGGATATGTAATTTGAACCTTCCCAGGCTCTGTTATGGATATGTCACCATGCCTAACATGCAACAAATTTGAATAGCACTGTCTTGATCATTCACCCATCTTATTTGTAGACTTTTAAGGTCGTATAGGAACACTTATCTAGTTTGATCTCCTGTATAACCCAAGTCATAGAAAGTCATCTAGTTATTCTTGCATTATGTTATAATACGCTATAGGCTCTCTAAAGGCAGGCACTTTTTATGTACAAGCTTCTAGTAATCCATCAATTCTCTGTGCAGTTTGTTCTAATAGTTAGTGAACCCTTCCACTAACACGTGTGATTTAGTATGTATTAAACATGCTTGGTTTTTAATTTTAAACTCAGGCTTTTGTTATGCCTATCTCCACCAGACTGCAGAGACTTCAAAACCAGCATTTCAAGGACAAAAAGGACATCTCATAAGGTGCTACAGTACTGAGCCCACTAGAGTCTTCTCTCAAGCATAATTTGAGAGGTCTCAAAGCAGACGTTAAAGTAAAGCCAATCTGGAAGAGGCTTCTTCTATTTATGTATTCCAGACCTTCTTTATAAATATTCTTGATGCCCAAACTACTGTCTATCAATGCCAAACAGATTGTCTATCAATTGCCTATGTCCTCAGATCTGTTTTTCTCTAGTATGGGTCAGAGTATTTCTAATTAACCTGTACTTCCCTCTAAGGTTCATTTTTGGCAGTCTTTTAAGCCTATGGTCTCATAAATTATTTTAAACCAGAAACAGACTTGAATCATTCTGACTACAGAAATCTGACACTCTGCAGAAGTTATTTCTTAGGTGATTGTACCTTTTTCAAATGGATTTCTGCTTTGCACTGGTTTAGAAACTCCCTTTACTTAATCACAAACAGTCTGGGAACAGGGCTTCTATATTCTCAGAAGCCACCTCTCGAGGATGATGATGGTGGCAGATAACTGATTTGAGCACCTGAGCTGAAATCACAAGTTTAGTGGCATTTGTGGATATAATCTACATCTATGGTAGAAATACGGGGGAATGTATAAGTACAGAAAAAAAAAATCCATTTTAGAGGAAGGTAGGGAGAAAGCCTGAAGCTGTAACATGTGGGATTCACCTGGGCAGAGTTTGAAGAAATGGTTGCTCTTTGTTTACAATAGTGAAGGTCATCCCGGAGCACCTCTGAGCTTGGGCTTGCTTAGACCTTTGGTCCACAAATGCGAGCTTAGTTTACAGGACTGACTGCTTGTTTGTGTTATCTTCTTCAGAGATCAGTAAAGTTTTGATCGGCCTGAATCATTCAGTGTTTTAATGTTTCTAAAGTGCTGTTACTGCAATTTGCCCAGTTGGGTTATGAGGGAGAGAATACAGCTGTGCTCTGTGCAGTTTGGGATGGGTTTCTATTTCTGTTCTGCAGCACATTCATCACACATGGTGGTTTCTGTCAGGTTGTCAGAGTAGGCCAAATTCAAATCTAATGTGTGCAGATATATGGCAAGACACTTCTGATTTAGATTCCATGTCTTCCATCTCTGGATGATAAGGATGAGAGAAATTTCTTCCTTTCTTCCTCACCCGATAAAAATATGAAGACTAACAGCTTATACTCCAAAGATTAGAAAGAACATATGACAGCTCAAAATCACAGCATTCTTAGTTGTCATAGTAATGTTCATAAAATTAATTAAGAATTAAATTTCAATGCACACCACACAGTCTGTACTAGAAATTCTTCATAATGTTAGTTTTCAAGTAACCACATGATTTGGCTTACCTTGGAAACGACATCAATAATTACAGAAGTGGCACAGGTAATGATATTAACAAATAACCAGCAGGCATTAGAGAATTCATACGAGACATTTTGTAAGCATTTTTACAGTGAATGCTCCATTAACTTTTTAGGCAAATACATTTCATTTTGAAAGGAAAAATATCCTCTTTATAATTAAGACTGCTTTAATCCTATTTAATTGGAATTGCTAACACTGGTAAGGACCATAAGATGATATAATAAATATCACAGTTCATCCAGGCAACATATATCTTGTCTAGTTTGTTGTATATACAGCACTTGAAAATTAAAGAGTACAGTTTGACAAGAAGATAACCCTGAAATCTTGTTAGGGTAGTCACTTCAAGCAGATAAAACAGCTGGTGAAAAAATGGGGAACTATTAATAGTAAATAGAGAGTTGTTCTACAAAAAAGACTAAGTACCAACAGCCTCCTTCACGGCTAGTAACAGAAAATCACAAAAGATGAAACGTGATCTATTTAGTCAAATGACTCCTGAACATCGGCTTGTCCCCCTCTTGAGAAGCCTGAAGCCTGGTTTCATCATGTCTTTTTCTAGCATTCTGAGGGATGGTCCAATACAAAGAAAGTCAGTATGCAGTGTTTAAATTTAATTTCCAATACATTATTAACCATTATGTACCAATTGCTGAAACAATATGATAAATAGGACAAGGAGATATGGGAAGATGAACTGAAGCGGATTTATTAATAGATTCAATCTTTAGAGCTGAACAGAAATCCACTGCACCATTGACTTAGCTCCAGTGAGATCAGAAGTGCTGCACCTGTTTATAAAAGAGCTGGATATGGCCTTTCTAGATATGATTAGAATTGGGTTCACATCAGTTGGTCAACTCGCAGCTCAGGGCAAGACAGTGAGCACAAAGGTCTTCCCATGGATACATAGTTCTGTAGAAAAAAATCAGCAGATCAAAATGCTTTTAATCCTTTCTGCAAAGTGATTTCTTTAGAACTCAATCCCTCTCTATTTGCCTAATCCTTTATATACCTGTTAAAATCCAAGCGCTTTAGGAAAGCTTCCACAGCTTTGTGTATAAGCCACTGCGCTGGTTAGAGAGGCTGCATGTCCATACTTACACCTGACTATTGTGAAGTATCATGGTGTCCCATAACAGCACATCATTTTACTTTGATGCTGCGTCAAAGTGACTTTAATAGCAAGGGAACATCAGATATTTGCTGATGTTAAGCTTATTGAAGAAACTATTTGGTAACTCTCAAATTTTAAACTTAATTGTTCTTTCAAATGTATCTTTATGTGACTATGAAAAAAATTTTTTTCCTGTTTTCATTCCTTTAAGACCAATCCAAATCAGAATTTTCTAGATTGCATTTTTTTATATCTCCTATATTATTATTATTACATATATACACTCTATTAGCTATCCTGATTTGTTGGATAAAAAACACAGTAATTTCAACCTCTTCAATTGAGAACAATTGCCATGAACAATACTATATGATTTATTCTCTAAAGGTTGAGATGGAAAGAAAAGGTCTAATATTTCTGGTTAAGAATCAGCCTTGCAGTGTTATCAATGCCAGCTAACACTCAGATAATTCCCTGCCTCCTGTCATAGCAGTCACAAGATAAAACAACAAATCAGACTGTCAAAGGCTTAAAACAGCAACAACAAAGTGCTGTTGCTTCTTCCCATCATTTTAACTTACACAGTTTGCAAGTGTGTAATACAAGCAGAATATCCAAGTTCTTGAGCAGCAGGCAAGGCCACTGCAGTTCAACTACAAACAGATGCTACGTGTAGAGAAATATGCACTAAGCAGAGACAATCCCCTTGCTCAAGAGAACAAAGTTTAAGCAGAATTTCATCCACTGTCTCTCTCTTCTACACTTACAAATGAGGTCAGAAAGGAGTTAATATTGACCAACCACAGATGTAAGCTTGAACCTACCTGTCAGATATAGTGCTTAGGTGCATGCGTCCCCCACAGGGGAAGGCAGGAATAATGGAGTAGCTGGACAGTAGAAAAGGCTCTTTCCACCCTCTGTTCTGCTTCTCTCATTTTCCCATGTGTTTATATGCACCTCAGTATGTATCTGTGGTGCAAACAGCCAAACTCTTAGTGACTAAAGCATGACAGCCAAAGGAGGACTCCAGAACAAGCATCACTGATTTCATATAGCACATCTGCAGGGCTCAGAAAGCATGTTTCCCTTTGGCAGCTATTAATTCCATAACATAACAGAAATGCAATTGTTACTACATCAAGGTACTCCAGGAAGTATGTTTCCAGGATGATTATTGCTTTCTCCAAGAACTAAACTCCTCTGTCTGTCAGCTGACCGCTTATTAGCTAGGGCAGGCAGAATTACACCGCCTTGCTGACCAACTTGGACATGCATGCTTCAGGTATCACTAACAAGAGCTTGTCAGTAAAAGCTCATCTGAGCACCTTTTAGCACGAGGAATATGGCATACAGATAGCATGCAACATTGTGCTTCCCAGTGTCACGATGGTTCTGTACCACACGGGGAAGTGTGTGTGCCATTCAGAGACAACAAAAAGACAGTGCTGTCACCATCTCTGGACTAGCTAGCAATGCTCTTCTGCAGTCTTTGCTTTCAACAGAAAGCACTGAAGCTGAATTCACAACCAACAATTACAGGGAGAGAAGGTCATAAACTTGTCAAGATAAAACTTTTGTGTCAGTCCAGGTGTGAACAGAGTTGTCTTCTGGGTTAAAGTAAGGACTAACGTCAAGAATAGAAATCAACTTAAAAAGCAGTTGATACATTTAAGTAAAGTTTAAGTAAAAGGGCGTAAAAGAGAGAAGCTTCATATGCTCCTTGTGTAAATGAGATATAGAAAACATTTTTTATTCCAGCCTTTGTGTAGGTATTTTCTCATGAATGTACAATAGGATCTTTCTGAGTCCCTTTTTCTGTTTATTTTTTAGTCTATCACTTATCCCTGCAACATTGGCTGTGCGAAGTGGTCTAAATCCCCTCACATAAACTTGTGTATCTGTATAATGACACGAAGGGATCTATGACCACAGTACCTGAGCATTCAAGCAGTTAAATACACAGCTAAACCCCCCCAGTAAAGACAACATCTGTAGCCCAAGAACAAGACATCAGGGAAATACAAAGCAGCTCCATGAGCAGCAGAACCAATGAAGCCTAATTTCCATTCTAACTGTTCCACAGTTGGGCTTCATACCTTCTTCCTCTCCTGGACTCTCTACTGCTCCATAAGGGTGCCTTACACTGAAGCTCTTCTCTATGCTAAGAAGCGAGATCACACTGAAGCTGTTCCTTCACTAGACCCACCAATGGAACTTTTCTAAGTCTTACTAAATGCTTAGGAAATACTTTGTTTTCAAGATCTTTACCTTTCTAATAAATTTAGTGGAAATCAGCCTATTGTTGGAAAAGTTACTCCTGAACAAGCTGGTAAATGCATGCACACGCAAGTCACAGCACAGTTACACAGGACTTGTGTCCTTAGGTAAGCGAGTTCAGAATTGTTTTGCTGAAACATCACTAGAACTGCAGGTGCTCAGAAGCCAACACAAGTCTGTGAGGGCCATGCTTATAGCGCTATGGAAGTACACTTTACCCAAGGTAAGTATGAAAGTAAGCTCTGAAGCATAAGTGCAATTAAAAGGCAAAGTGCGCAGCTGCTTAGTGCGCAGCTGCTTAGTGCGCAGCTGTGAGATAGCATCTCTGACAATCTAGCTCAACACATCTCAAAGTAGGGTGCCCAGAAACAGAATTTTCTAACTTTCATAGCCACTTTTGAAATGTTATGGCCTAAAATAAAATGCATTTAACAGAATTATGATAATTTACAGAAGATTCAGAGTATTTGTGCAGATAGGTATTTAGAGACAAATATAAATTTCTTTATTATAATGTATCATTTTTAGAAATTTTTAGAAAACTACAAAACTTACGTATTTCGCAGTTTGCACCGACCCATCCGTGTGGACAATGGCAGATGTAACCACCAGGCTGGTCTATGCAAGTCCCAGCATGGTGACATGGGTTGCTGTCACAGTCATTTACATCAGTTTCACATTCTTCACCTTACATCGGGAAAAAAAACCAACAAAAAAAAAATTTCTATATAGCAGGTGCCTCATGTAGCAGGTACCTCATCAATCATTTAATTTTTCTCTAGCTGCAAAACACCTTATAGCTCAATAGTATCTTTATTCTCAGAACATCAAAAGTATTCTATAACTGTTCAAGTGTTTCAAGAAATAAGTCTCAAGTAGTTTCCTTCTTCCAAGAAGAAAATATTATCCTCATTCAACCAAAGTTGTGAAAACAAAGTCCGGGGGCTAAGTGACTTGACTAACCTCACCCAGATTATGTGTGTCTCATTTCAATATAAGTTCCATCCCAAGAAAATATGGTATAAGAATTTATCATGTATATTCTGAAGTGCTATACAATAATGTAGATAATCGGAGCCTCTGAGAAACAGCCACTGTACAACGGAAAGCTAATTCTTTTCAAAAAAAAAGACCTTTAATTAACACAGATCAAAAAGCACGATTTGATCTACAAACCATGAATGGGTTTATCTATTACTATCACATTGGATATTACCTTACATGACTAACAGAACATCAGGTTGTAAATTATCTTGACAGCAGATATTTGGATTACACCAATCATGTCAGTTTAAAAAGAAGACCAAAGGATTAAATGGGCTGCTTGCCATTACTCTGAAAGTGTAAATTGATTCATAACAAGCACTTTAGGGCTTTTAGCAATTGCATATTAAGGTATAAGGTATAAGGAATAAGTTGTTTCTTCAGCTCACAGTAACTAAGGTCAATGTTAAAACATTTTCCAGTTTTAAAAGTGTCCAATTAGTATATTGGCTTACCTGGAAGTCTTCAAACTGTTATTTTTAAAATGCAATCTAGTCTCAAGCAGTAAGGTCATAAGGCATGTTAAGCAGCTGTTAGCTTATCGAATTCTCTTTAGTAATAGGCTTTTTTTTTCTGCAAAATTTTTAAAGTTGAAAACAGTTGCAAGTAATACCAAGAATTTTTCATTCTCACTAGACTGATTACAATTCAGCAAAGTCCAAATTAATTTGTTTCCTTGATGGGACACAGTCTTACTTGGTATTTGTCTTCTTTTGGACACAGTGAACACTGACAACTAGATGTTCTGTGTAATGTACAAATTACTTGCCTGTATATCCAGGTGCACAAATACATGTAGCATTTAGACCTTCACTGTCACAAGTGCCACCGTTCTGACAGTTGATGTTTACACAAGGATCTTTGTATAATTCACAGTGCCTTCCTGAAAAGGTAAATTAGTAATTGCCATTAACATGACCTATACTGACAGCATGAAATCAGTACATGCGACGACTTAACTTCATGTGGATGAGCACAATGATGTGCAGCCTCCAAGCCTGTCCTATTAGGCTAATGCCAGAAGACTAAAGCCATATATTTTATGGTGACTAAACTTTTTACACACATGCCTCCTCCCTGCTCTTCCCACCCACTGAGGCTTTGGGATAAGAGAGGTAGGGCAATTTCTGTTAACAAGAACTGCTGGAGTGTCTATGAAAAACCAATGGTATAATAAAGCACAATCTGATCAGCTATCTAATATTCTTTAATAAAATGTAAACAATAATTGTCTTCAGTAAGAACTTTACGTAATAACTTCTTAAATAATATACATAAGCATTCTGATGCCTCTCATCGACTTTTGCAGGAAAATGAGGAGTGTAACTAAAGCAATAAAAAGATAAAGTAATTTATTCAAACATATAGCTAAAAGTAAATAATTGGGCTGCTCAACTTCATGCCACTACCTTCACTCTTTCATTCTCAGGTGTAGGCTATATGAATTCAGCAGCTTGGCCTTGCAGGAGACAGTGCAAGCCGTATCTGGCATACAGAACATAAAGCACAGCAGATTCCCACCTGTGGATGGGGAGAGAGGCTCTACTGCCACTGCTACGTGCATCATTCTCTCTGGATCTACTTTTCAGATAAAACTAGAAAAATCAATACATGAATGATCTAATCAGTGCATGGATGGCACTGAAACACGAAAAAAATAAATGTACATATGTGAATAATGAATGGTTGGTGGGACTTCATTTATAATGTATCTACTACAGTGAAATTCGCTTGCATTTAAATACCTGCTTAAATTTATCCATTAGTGTAAGTTTTAAGTCTAAATCTAAGTCTTATTACCATTCTTTGCTTGGGAATGAATCCAAAGTGACCACTTAGCTAAAATGCTAAGTTATTTTCAAGTTTTCCCATTCTTATACCTTTTACAAGAATTTCAACAAACTGAAGAGCAGGACAGATTCTAAGTGCTTCCATGTGATAACACTTACAAACACATTTTTCACTTTTTAAGGCGGTTCATGTTTCTAAATCCTTACTGCCCTGCAAACCGTAAAGATGCATAGTCAACAGAAGCATAAACTCATATTGTTTATTATGTATAAAAACTGCAATACAACTTTGGCATCAGGAAAATGTTTCTAATCATGAGGTAGTGAATGACAGTGAAGGAATTATGTTGCTTGTGGAGATTACAGAACCTACAAGAAGCTGGAGGACTAGAAGAGGTTAGACAAATACATGTGAAAAGTGGACACGCAGCCGATCCTGCCTTACTCCTTCCCAACCTCTTCCATGAATACCGTTGTGTTGCACTGGAACTGGGCAGTTTGTGAATTTGAATTTGGAGAGTTTGAGATGCAGAACTATACAGAGGTAAAGTTAGTGAGAAAATAGAGTCTTGAGAAAAGAATATGAGAAAGAAAAATCAGTACAAAAAAGGAAGAAATTGGACACATAATATATCAGATGTATATACACAAGCAAATTTATTTCATGAGTGAACGATTAAAAGGAATGAACTTAGTTCTCTAGTGTTCAACACTGCGGTAATGTACAGCAATGCAAGCTTACGTGAATTATATAAAAACAATCATCTCAAGTTAACAGTGATAATTAAAGAAATATAGAAGAGCAGCTTGTTTTAAATATATATCTATTTTATATATATACATATACACACACACACGCGCGCGTACTCACTCACTACAGACCTGCTGAAATCATTTGGCCAGTCTGTCAGCAGCGAAAAGGCAGAGCACTCCCGTTTGGGCGCCCTGCGGCTAAGCAGCAGCAGCAGCCAGCAGAGCCAGAAGCCCAAGGTAGGTGCTGGCACACGCTTCTCTCCAGAGCCGCCCGAACAGCTCGTCTCTATTTGCCAGCCAGGGGGGTGGAGGCAGAAGGGGGGGACTGCAGAGGGGGAGGTCTGGGTTGGTGGGGGTTAAAACTGAGGTCTCTAACGGCCCACGCAGGAACTTGAGCTGGGTGCCTCAGCTCTATTCATTAGTGTCACTGAATACCTTAAGTACTGGAAGGAAGAAAGCTCAGTAATCAGCAAAAACTGCTTACAGGACCAGGTCCCCTGCTTTCATTTAAAGCAAAGTATGCTGCGCACACAGTGCTTTCAG